ACCGGAGTGGAACAACATGGACGAGGGGATCACTGATAAATGCTGAACTTGTTCTCTGTTGTTCCAGTGTTTTCCTTGTTCTGGTACCTGTCCTCGGTTCTCACCCCCACCCCGGACTCTACAATTGCGTTGGGTCTTTCTTTTTTCCTTTCCGTCTTCGTGTCTTCTAAAGAATTGTTCAGTTGCGGCTGACGCTTCTTCCCTCTTCCATGTCGTGTATGTTCCTTATTTTCCACTATATTCTCCTATTTATTTTCTATATATTTATATAGATATTATATATAATTAAGATATATAATATATAACAATATATGAATATTATATATAATACAAATAATATATATATATATATATATATATATATATATATATATATATATATTTGATACGCATATTCTATTAATATTCGTATGAGGGTAACTCCTGTGACCGTGTCTCCCTCTTAATTACATTCCCTCCTCTGTTCATCGCCTAGCGTTACTAACGTCCTGTGGTCGTGTCTCTTTCCTGATCCTCTTTCCTTCTCCATTGATCCCCTATCAACGCGGACGTTCCAATTGCCCACAAAAGTCCGTCTCCCGTGGTCGGATCACCTGAGCCGTCGAGGTCACGCCACGGACCGGCGCCGACCACCCCAGCGCCGCCCGCGCCGCGCAGTCCGACCTGTCGTGACCTCCGGTGACCTGTGGCGTGTCAGCGCCCACCGCCGTCTCCCGACGATCAGCGATGCATCACGAAGCTCATTCAGGTGTCACGTGACAGCAGCAGGACCGTCAGCGGCCCGTCGCCGGCTGTTTATCGGTCCATCATCAGCCAAGCGGCGCAACTGCGGCCGCGGGCGCGCGCGCGGATCTTTCGCCGGCCGTCCGAGTGTTCGGCGGTCTGTCGGCCAGGTCAGCGGTTTGTCGACATGGTCAGTGGTCTGCTGGTCTGGCCAGCGGTCTGTCGGCCTGGTCAGCGGTCTGCCGGCCTGTTCAGCGGTCTGTCGGTCTGGTCAGCAGTCTGTCGGTCTGGTCATCGGTCTGCCGGCCTGTTCAGCGGTCTGTCGGCCTGGTCAGCGGTCTGTCGGTCTGGTCAGCGGTCTGCCGGCCTGGTCAGCGGTCTGTCGGCCTGTTCAGCGGTCTGTCGGTCTGGTCAGCGGTCTTCCGGCCTGGTCAGGGGTCTGCCGGCCTGGTCAGCGGTCTGTCGGCCTGGTCAGCGGTCTGTCGGTCTGGTCAGCGGTCTGCCGGCCTGGTCAGTGGTCTTCTGAGGGATCTGTGATCTCAGCGCCAAGCCGATGTGCAGTTTTAGTGCTAAGTTGTTCTCTTGCGGTTAGAGTGATTGGTGACTTGCGGAACAGTTTAATCGAGGATGCCCAATAATTTGCTCAAGGCGACCATGTGAAATGGTTTCATGCCTTGACTTCATGCCTTGATTTCATGCCTTGGTCTTCGCTACCGATGATCGTTTGTTTTCCAAGTCACTTTATTTTGTCCTTTCGACACGCGTGGTTAGAGAACTTTGGCCAGCGTGATACCTTTTCGTAATCCTTCCATTTATTTTCAGTTTTATCTGTCAGTTGGATTTGTGTGTTTCATGCCTCCCTTAGGTTCCAGCTTGATCCCCCAATCGTGCTCCCTCCCAAGGTCAGTGTGGTCCACCTAAAAGTGTGGTCCCTGACCTCGGGGCCAATAAGACGTGAGACGTCACACCAGTGTCGTCCACGATCTGCCGATCAAAGTGATCTGTGATCCTCCGATCAGTACATTTTAATCCCAGACCGCTGTGATCCGTGAATCCATGATCCACACAGCGGGTGGATATTCATAACACGCTTTCCACATCAGAAGGATCTACGATGCCCATGCCATATTGTGATCCATCGGCAAGGATCTATCTTTCCGATCGATCCGTGATGTTTTGAGTGCTTTCAACCGTGCAGTGCAAACAGTGCGTTCCGGGCAGATTGTTCGTGATCTCCGGCCTGGGTGAGCGGTGGTCCTCCAGTTAGGAGGACATCTGTGTTCCCGGTCTCATCAGTGAGTGATATTGTTACCGAAGATCATGCTTTAAGCTTCGTTATTTTATGTGAGTGCTGCTGCCTCATGCGTTTGGCAGACTGGGAATGGCAGCTACGAGCGCTTAGCTTTACGGTATTAATGATTCAATTACTTGCACAGTCATCCCTGCGCGATGCGCCCCCCTTAGCGAACATCAGCAGCTAACGTTTAATTTTACTCCGCATGCGTGTAGGCGTCCTGTATCATTTCATTGCATCTGCATCATCATCACTACGTTCATAAGGGACTTATTGTCGGAACTCCGAACCTACCCATTCTCGAAGCGAGTTATCTGGAACAAATGACCGTGACATTTGCTTCTTCATCTCGTGTTCAGCAGGCGCGGGTTTTTGGCATGCTGTCTGACGGTGGACTACTTAGCGGGACTCACGACAGTTCTTTGTAAGTGTGGGAGTGCATGCAAATGCCGCCTGTATCTGATTAATTTCAAAAGAAGAGCAGACACAAAAACGCCGCACGTGCGTCAAAGGCTATGCAGTCGTCAGGATATCAGGACGATCACTTGCCGTTTTTGTAGGTTTGAGGGCGCCGTACGGTTGTGGATGTGGCAGGGAAAAATCACCTGCTCGCATAGAGGGAGAGTCTGCGGGTCCTGCGGGCCTGTGGTCTGGGGATCTGAGAATCTGCGGGTCTGCGGCCTGAGGATCTGAGGGTCTGCGGGTCTGCGGCCTGCGGATCTGAGAGTCGGCAGGTCTGCGACCTGGGGATCTGAGGGTCGGCGGGTCTGCGGCCTTGAGATCTGAGCGTGTGCCTGGCTGCGGCCCGAGAATCTGAGGGTCTGCGTGGCTGCGGCCTGCGGATCTGAGAGTCGGCAGGTCTGCGACCTGGGGATCTGAGGGTCGGCGGGTCTGCGACCTAGGGAACTGGGGTTCCCAGGTCTGCGGCCTGGAGATCTGAGGGTTCCCGGGTCTGCGGCCTGCGGATCTGAGGGTCCGCGGGTCTGCGGCCTGGGGATCTGAGGGTCCGCAGGTCTGCGGCCTGCGGATCTGAGGGTCCGCAGGTCTGCGGCCTGCGGATCTGAGGGTTCCCGGGTCTGCGGCCTGGAATCTGAGGGTTCCCGGGTCTGCGGCCTGGAATCTGAGGGTTCCGGGTCTGCGGCCTGGAATCTGAGGGTCCGCGGGTATGCGGCCTGGGGATCTGAGGGCCCCCGGGTCTGCGGCCTTGAGATCTGAGCGTGTGCCTGGCTGCGGCCCGAGAATCTGAGGGTCCCCGGGTATGCGGCCTGGGGATCTGAGGGTCCCCGGGTCTGCGGCCTGGAGATCTGAGGGTGTGCGTGGCTGCGGCCGGGGATCTGAGGGTCCCCGGGTATGCGGCCTGGGGATCTGAGGGTCCCCGGGTCTGCGGCCTGGAGATCTGAGGGTCTGTGTGGCTGCAGTCCGAGGATCTGAGGGTCCGCGGTTCGACCGATGGTACCGATTGCGGGCTACTGCCGGTGGATCTAAGAAGCGAATTCACCACGACAAAATACGTCAACGACTTGACGAAGATTAACATCTTCCCCTGTAGCTTGGCCAGATGACCGCTCGCTTGCTGTCTGGATCCATCGCATTATCCCCTCGAAACACTTTTGGACAGGTTACGTGGTTAAGGACTGCCTCATTACAGCTTACTCCGTCGTTAAACATAAGTGGCTCAATGAAATGGCGACATGTGACGCATGACAAACCGATCGAATGTAGCTCGCAGAAATGTTTCCGGACAAGCTATTCATTTGTGAAACACTGCAAAAATGAAGACCCGTGAATATTTCATGATGTGATGCAACTTTTGGGTTAATACAAATAGAGTTATCCCGGGGCTGCGTTGCCGGACGCGACTGCACAACACACACACATTTTCTACAATATACTTATACTTAGACGTGTGAAAATGCCTTAGGTCGCTGCGTTAACATGCAGCCGTCGAATTTTGTGGATCCCTTACCGAGTGCTCGCGCTCGCGCGGTCCTGACCACCCGCCATAAGCCGTCCGCCGTCACATCGACGTTGTCCCCGGTGCGGCGTCCTGAGTTCCTCGCCCCGCTATCAGCCCCAAGTACACACTGGCCTCCGAGGCCCGCACCGGCGCTGAATCATATCACTGGAAGCTGTTCCCTTTGAATGTGCCGCATCCAGCCAGCGGGCAGTCTCCGCAGATAGCTGGTGTTTGAAATACCTCAGAGGCGTTTCTGAGCGGCCGCAGTCTGCTCAGCGTTTTGGCTGCGACGACAGGCCCCAGGGGACCCGGATGACACCGCCTTTCGTGGTTGACAGGCGGACAAAAACAGCTCGCCGGCCGTGCCGGCAGAAGAAAGGACCCGGCCCTAACCAAAGGGAGGAAGTTTGCTGAGTAAATGGAGGAAGAAAACACGGGCTCGGAATGGTGTTCTTCTGCTGACGGTGCCGAGGAGAGGCAGTGAGCAAAAAATGGAACAACACAAAGCCTCGGAAAGGAGAGGAAAAATGGGAAAACGGAAGCGCCGGAGTGAATAAACGACTATTTTTCCGTCATGGTCGACGAATAATAGCAGTTATGAGCGGAGTCCAGCGCTTTTAGCAGTATTTTAAAAGAGAAATGAAACCCATATTTATAAATACAGGCTTACACCAGATGATTTAATTACGCTCTGCTTGAGAATGCGGTGCAGGTAAAACTGACAAATCTCATCGACAAGACCAGCTAGTTAAGTCTTTAACAAGGCTCACTACGTTACACTGAGAGCGGTTTTCTTTCGGGAGTGCTGTCGGTGTAGTGTTCGTGGTCGCACGTGCCGAAATGCTGCTAACTTCTTTTGATGGCGGATCCAAGGTCAGGGCATTTGCTCAGAAAACAATGGCTGCCTGGCCTCGGCCACACCCACACGCTGATATGCTCGTGAGACATAACGCTAACGTCATCGTCACGCTAGCGCATCCGCTTTTGTTGAAACATTGCACCGTCACGCTCCAAACTTCTGCGATGTGCGCGTAGAGCTGTTCTATTGTAAATTACGACGCGTTGGTTAAAGCCTCACTGCTGGCGAAGTTGTACTACAAGACACTTTGAAGGGTGCACAGAGCAGCTGGTTGAGATCGGCTGGTAACAATACAATAGTACGTGAGGAGCGCCTATGCTGCTGCTGAATGACACATAACAAACATACATCTCCGATTAGTAACAACAAACGCGGCGGATGGACGCCCGGCGCTCGACGTAGAAAAACAAGCGTGTCTTAACTCGGGCCACCGCTCGGCCCAGGGATGTGGATTGTACTGGCATGCGGCGCTACAAACAATACGGAGGTAGATGGTAGGGCGTGGAAGACTGAAAAGCTCCATCAGCATTCACATTCAACATATATGCGACGTGTCTCTCTGCTTTCATCGCCTCTGGGTACCTTCAGCCACTTTCATCTTCGCGCGCTAACCCACTCCATTTTATCTGTCACAACAGCGCTCGTCTCCGCTGGTCCGTTAGTCTGCTCAACGACCAAGCTGTCGCTCACGCAGCGTGTTCTCCGACACTGTAGCCAGCCTACTGACCGATCCGTCTCCTCATTCCTGCCCCTCGAGCAGCTCTTCTCGTCTGACCTCCCTGACAGGAGCTGGAGTGATACAGCGCTGCCCTTTCTCCGTTGATCCCTTCAGAAGCGTGCCGGATTTTGATAACTCAGCCGACAGGCCTCTCCTGGCTGACCAGTTCCAGCGGCAGCTTGACTGATTCTGGGGCTTCGAACGTTACCACCTCAGTGAGTCGACCGTCTTCTGGAACCGCTCGCCACCTTCTCCAGTCCGCCAATTCTCTCAATATTTGCATGCCTATGCTTCCACTATCCATACGAGGCCTCCACCGGTTGCAGCCCGGGGTCATTCCTCTCAGCCCTCCTGCAGCGCTTGGGATATTGACCACCTTGCCCACCTAACTTCTCAGCGTTTTGACAGGTAACGCTCTCTCTCTCCTTCTTCCTCCATCGGCAATCCTCCATACCATCGACTGCCGCGCCCGGCAGTTCAGCTGATATGTAACCGCGGCTGTCTGGGCCTATTCTCTTCAGCAGCCGGTCCTCTCCATCTCCGGGAGCTCCTTGCCGCGTGTCTCCGGCACCCATGCCAGCACGAAGACGAGGCAGAGCGCCGAGACGGCCGCGTACAGCCAGAACACGCCGTGCAGACCCAGCGCTCGCTCCAGGTCCACGAACGTCTTGACGCTGACGAACGCGCAGCCGTAGCTGACCGAGGTGGCGAACGCGCCGAGGCCGCGGTGCCTCAGCGGGAAGAGCTCGCCAATCAGCAGCCACGAGATGGGCCCGACGCCCAGCGAGAAGGCCACCTGAAATACGAGCACGCACGACATGGGGATCCAGTCGAGCGGCGCCTGCTGGCCGTCCGTCAGCAGTTGGCTCGCATCCACCACGTACACGAACGTGCCGAAGCCGGCCAGCGCTAGCGACATGAGCGCGCTGCTGACGGCCAGCAGCGGCAGCCGGCCGACCGTGTCGATCAGGACGCCCGAGGTGAGACCGGCCAGGATCTGGAGCAGGCACACCACCACCGCCGCGCCGTGCGCGCTCGTGCGCGCGAACGTCTTGGACAGGATCGGCACCGCGTAGAAGCTGAAGGCGTTGACGCCGGAGAACTTCTGTAGCAGCATGAGGCCGCACGTGACGAGGAGGGGCCGCAGCAGCGCACGCGGCCGCCCGGGCACGCCACCGACGCCGCTTGCACCGCCGCCGCCGCTGCCGGCGCGGATCTGGAGGATGTTGGCGCGAAGCACGGCGTGCTCTGCGGCGACGTCGGCGCGCGCGCCGCGCAGCCACTGCAGCGCCACCTGGGCCTCGCGCTCGCGGCCTCGGAACAGCAGGAAGCTGGGCGTCTCGGGCACGGCACAGCAGGCCAGCACCAGCAGCAGCGGTCCGGCCGAGGCGACCAGCGCCAGTTGCCGCCAGTCGAGGAAGCCACCGAGGCTGAAGCTCAGCAGCATGCCCGCGTTGGAGGCCACCTTGGTGACGGCGCAGAGGCCGCCGCGCACACGCGGCTGCGCGATCTCGCTGACATAGACGGGCGTGACGAGCGCGACCACGGCCGAGCACAGGCCGCTGACGAAGGCGGCCGCGTACAGCGCGCGCACCGAGCCGGCGCCGGCGGCCAGCCACCAGGCGCCGGCGAACGGCAGCGCGACGGCGGCCAGCACGCGCCGCCGGCCCAGCCGCAGCGCCAGCCCCGCCGGAAGGCCGCCCACCAGCGCGCCCAGCAGTGACAGGCTGGCCACCCAGGAGCCCTCCTCCGGCGAGATGGCCAGGCCGCCCAGCGACGCCGGCCCGGCCAGCGAGGCCAGCGCCGGCGAGCTGTAGCCTTTCCCCAACCCGACCGCCAGCGGGCCCATCGAGACGGCCAGCGTGGCCAGAACCTGCCACACAAGGAGACAGGTGTCAGGGCCATACAACGGGGCCGTCGAGCTGGCCAGGCCAGAACAAAATGCACGGGAAGGATCATCGCAAATGTGTGTTGGGTGCGTAGGAAATATTTGTGCGTGCTAGCAGAGAATGTAGCGAAAATCAGAGGACGATACAAATAAGGTACAGTGTGCAACTGACGTCACAGTGTAGGCGGACGACATCGGGAGTGAGCCTAGGATCGGTTATGAACGTAAGATGGTAAGAGAATGTAATCACGTCGAGGGCAGTGTCGTGCTAAAGAAGTGTCTGACCGTTACCTGAGTGATGTAGCTGGAAGACTTCGGGCTGTAGATGAGCTCCAGGGTGGAGCTGGTCATCCTTTTCGCTACAACGGTGGTCTCATCTGGACATCCTCATGGAAATGTCCTGTAAAATGAGAGCGCTTTATTGCACCTGGCAAACCCTGGGCGATCAAGCATGATGCTTAAGATGGTTTCTCGCTTCCAGGGTCATTCATCGGGGAGTGATGATGGATTGTCAGGTCTATGCTGTGGTCTGAACTGGGAAGAAAAGGTCATAGGGAAGACCCTGTATACCAAGGTCATAGGTCTTGACGACACAACGAATGGTCAAGCACCTTACTCACAAAAATTGCATCTGCTCTGGGAAGGATGGTTTCCCTTGGAATAGTTCGTATTTATTCAAGGTTAATAGTTGGTATTTATGAAGTCTTTTCGTAGACATTTGATAATCAAACCGAAGTGTCATTATCCCTTACAACGGTATCAGTTGAGCGCATTTGAAGCTGCAGATCTTTGAGTCGTCACCAAAAACAGAGCCATTGGATGGGCACATCATAAAGAAAAGTCTACTGATGGGCAAAATGCACCTCATCGCAAACCTTGTCGCGACTCCAACAACAGCCGTCAACCGCCGGTTGCGCGCTGTTACGCCGGTTACGTCCGTTAACACCGCTCAGGTGCGCGTCAAATTGACCTCCCCTGAAGGTTTTTCCACAATGTTTTCCGAACGTCGCGGCGTAGCCGCGCTAAATTTTGCAGAGCTGTAGACATTTGAATAGCGGACCGTCTGGGGTTACAAATTTAGATGTACCTTGTAAGGTCGCTGACCTATGGCAGGTCAAGTCAGAATAGGCTTTTAGCGAAGGTAGTTTCTAGGGAATCGTTCAAACTGATCTAACAACGGGGTGGTAGACGAAGGCATACATCTCTGAGATACTTTCTTAGGTAACAGAACAATTAAATGAACAAATTTCATTGACCAAATGTCAGGTATAAGGTCCTATCAAGGTTAAAACCAACCTGTTGTATTGCTTTAGCGCTCGCTGCATGGGTAAGTTCCTGGCGCTCATTTCGAATTTAATGATAACAGAAACCGCATTATGCATCTTCCATAGGTTTCTTCAATGTCAGAAAAGGTCACTGACCCAGAATGACCCTGGTCAACATTTTGCTTTTAGGAGCATTCTGCCTAGCGTAATGTTTGTCGCTTATACAAAAGCAAAACTCAAAGCGGTCTTGTATGATTTTAGTCGCCATGACCTTCAAGAAATCAAAAAAGGCCACCGACCTTAGATGAGTATGTGGCTTTTTGCTGAGAGCAGTTATCTAGGTTCTAGGTCCCTTTGGAGATCAACCTGGAATTTTACCTTGTTTGACCTTACTTGACTCGAAGGTCATGACCTGGGAACCTGAAAGTTTTCCTTAGCGAGTCCACATGCAGGTCAATACAACCTGTGAATTTTGTGTCCCTAGCTCCCTCAGTTCCTGAGATTTCAGGAGGTCAAATAACCCCCCCCCCCCCTACACCTGAGCGAAGGGTATCCAACCGGCCACCCGGGCGCGTGTTAAATGGAGTGTTCCACATTTACATGGGGTTTTGAAGTCAAACAGCCATCCTGAAGACCTTTCAATGCTGTTCACATCCCTGCTCTTCTTAAGACCTAAACACCCCAAGCTTCTGAGCTACACGCCCGAGAAAATGGGGGAGTATTTTGGGAAGAGTAATTCGAAGTCAGTTGGCATTAATGACTTCATAATAACGTCACGCAATTCTGCCATTCCACAAAAGATGGCGCAATATAGGCCAATAAAAAATAATTGTGAAGGCGGTCACATCTGGCGCATGTGAGCACGATTTCCAGATGCAACGGCTGTCCATTGGTTCCCAATCATTGTTGTGCAAGGTGCGATGACGTAATTAAACCATGACACACCGAGGAGCGTATTTACCTAACAGACAATTATGCTGTCTAGAACAGTCTGTCTCACTTAAAAACTATAGCAATAGGTATAAGCGAGCTTATTTCGTTATACCTGATGCCTGCTCCCATATCTTCAAATGTGAAACATTCTCTTTCAGTTGATACGGCACCAGTACAACAGCAGCGTCACTGAGATCCCCCGCCCACGCAACCCAGTCCCAGGCCATCGACAGACGGCCGTCACATCCTCCAAGGACAGCTGTCTGTCATAGGAGAGAGCCATCGCTGTCAGCGGCCCCCATGACAGCTGTCACAGATAGGCACCCGTGGGCCCGGCCGCACGATCGATCTCCCCAGGGGCGCTGCAAGAGCTCCCCGTCTCTCCGCCGGTCCTGGGACCGATTGAGGGGGGGGGGGGGGGGGGGCAGGCGGCATGCGGAGTGAGGTCGCATCCAGCGAGCAGACGTGCGCGGGTCATCTATCCTGGAGACGTCGGCGACGCCAGAAACGAGCAATCTCTCAATCGTGACCGAGCAAAACGTTTGGTTAAAGCGGCGCCGCCGCAATGCTCCATCATCATGAGAACATCAGGGTCATCGCTCGATGACGCGCACCGTCGCCGCTTGAAGGGCAATCACTCTCCTATTCAGCGGGACGCGTGCGGACATCGGCGTGACCGGAGGCGGCGCTTCGCAAGCCGCGGATTGCGTGCTTCGTCCATTTGCGCCGTTTGCGCGGGGACGTGTTCCGAAGCGGGACAGCGGTCGCGGCGTTCATGAATGGATGCGATGGTGCGCGATAGCGCAGCATATAAATGTGGTGCTGTGATACATGTATCGCAGATAGGGGATGCTCGTAGTGTAAAGAGAAGTGACAGGAACAGCCTCTGCTAAGCTTGAAGCGTCAGCGTCGTGACCCGCCAGCATGTGGCGTTAATGGTGTGCGGGTGCTAACACTACGTCTGGCTTGTGTTGGCAATATTTTGTGAAGAGTGCTACCGCCTCGCTCCAGCGGCCGCGTGGCGCGTGCAGAGCTGGTGAGGGGTGACCCCTCTCCAGAAGCGGACTGCGCGAATTACCGGACTATTAGAACAGCGAAGACGGCGCGTTGTGCCATTCGCATCTGTCCAAATCACTTTGTTCCACGCATACCCAGCTGGCACTCATTTCAGTGCGCCTGCAAAACGTTTCATAACATCAATTTTACAGTGATTGTTCTAACTAATGGCGTCGTTAGAGCGGAGGGACTTTGGGGTCATCCCCCCCCCCCCTGGAGGTGACGGGGTCACCCCCGTGGTCAAAGCCCCTAATCCTTTTTAGCAATTTAAAACCTCGAAAGTGCTTCCAAGACATCAAAATCAGACACTCGAAGCATCAAAATGGGATCCAGAGCCAAATGGGGTTCCCGAATCCAAAACTAGGCCATGCTAGCCCTAAAGTGGGGCCCACGTGGCTGAAATGGTCCACTTTGTCCGATTTGACTCCGTCGCGATCGAAATCCTGGCTATTGCACAGGGTCTAATAGTTTAAAATCACGCTGAATGGGGGCTGGATTTCTTCCGTTTATTTCTCAGTGACAGCAAAGCTCTATCCCTTGCACAGTGCTGACTTCATAATCTGACCTCATGCCCTGCTAGCTGGCGCGGCGTGGCAAAACGATTCGTATAATCACCCACGACATGACATTGACTTAGTGCATGGCAACAACAATGGCTGAAAACCAACGCGTGCTGTGATTTAACGGCGCCTTGACCTTTGGCGTTGCGCGCATCATACTGTGCACAATGCTCTGCTCGAGTAGGATCATTGTCAAAGAGCTGCAGGACCTTTTAAGGGACAATGAGGGGCGGTCATCCGACCTCGGCATCTCACGACTTCCCTAGGTCACAGAGCCCGCTCGCGGCGCCCCAGTAGACGACCATACGACCTCGGCATCTCACGACTTCCCTAGGTCACAGAGCCCACTCGCGGCGCCCCAGTAGACGACCACACGACCTCGGCGTCTCACGACTTCCCTAGGTCACAGAGCCCGGCCGCGGCGCCCCGGTAGACGACCACACGACCTCGGCGTCTCACGACTTCCCTAGGTCACAGAGCCCACTCGCGGCGCCCCAGTAGACGACCACACGACCTCGGCGTCTCACGACTTCCCTAGGTCACAGAGCCCGGCCGCGGCGCCCCGGTAGACGGCCATACGACCTCGGCGTCCAAGCGGTCAGTCCGGGTCTCAGAGCCGGAGCTCCTGAAGCTGGAACTCCGGAACTCCTGAGCTCCCGGCCGGAGCTGCAGCCGAGGCACGGAGGGGACTTCGCGGCCCGCGGCCCGCAGCCCGACCATGGCAACAGACACGCGCCGCTTTGAAATGGCCGGCAGGAGGCACGTGTTGATGCTGGCTTTCAGGTGGAATTTTCGCCCTCTGCTTGGTCGGCGGACCGCTAATGGGGGCACGTGACCCGGACAGAAGCACGCGCTGTTCCGGGTCGCCCGAGGGGACGGACAGACACCGGCGCGCCTGTTTATTTCGGGCTAATCTGGGAGTCGGTTTGTGCTTACACGTAGTCGTTTCGCACAACCTCAACAAACCGAAGTCGCCTCCAGCAATCGCAGACTCGGCGCAGTGCTGCTTCATCGTGAATGACCACGGCAATGATACGGAGCCGTGTTCGCCAGTCGCGAGCACCCCATGCCCGGT